TTGCCGGCTGGGCTTGAACCACGACAGAAGTAAATTATGACTTTTATGTATAATTTTGTTATTAGCCTGTCGGTCATAATTACATGAACTGTGAGAAATTTAGTTTCAGGAATGATAAAACATCCTGCCTTCTTTGTAATACAGATTTGTTCTGTAATTATGGTATCAGTACAGAATAGTTACTTGGGTAAAGCAGTACAAATTGTAAGCTTTTATGCTGGGAGAGGAGAGAGTGTTCCTGATATGCCGTTATGCTTTTCACAGAGTTAATCTAAAAAACCCCAAGCCCTCTCAAGGAGTTTTTTTTGAAGGGCTTACAGTAAAAGCCATCATCCATAATAGTTCTTTGTAATAGTGGTTATGATGATTGCTGAGGGGTTATTGATTATACTGCAACTATAGAATCATAGGATAGTTAGAGTTGGAAGGGAACTTAAGATCATCTAGTTCCAACCCCCCTGTCATGAGCAGGGACACCACACACTAAACTATGTCACCCAAGGCTCTGTCCAACCTGGCCTTGAACACCTCCAGGGTTGGAGCATTCACAACTTCCTTGGGCAACCTATTCCAGTGCCTCACCACCCTCACTGTGAAGAACTTCTTCCTTATATCTAACCTGAAGTTCCCCTGCTTAAGTTTAAACCCATTACCCCTTGTCCTACCACTACAGTCCCTAATGAAGAGTCCCTCCCCAGCATCCTTGTAGGCCCCCTTCAGATATTGGAAGGCTGCTCTGAGGTCTCCACGCAGCCTTCTCTTCTGCAGGCTGAACAGCCCCAACTTTTGTATAGGTTGTCTAGTTCAAGAACTTTTTTTCTTGTTTGTTTGTTTGTTTTTTGTGTTTTGGTTTTTTTTTATTTTAGCTAGAGGCTATGAAGTGTAGTCTTGAGTCATGAAAAATATTTATTCTGAGTTTTTTAACTACTGTTAAGATTTATTCAGTGATCATAGAATTGTAACCTTTTCTCCTATCCCAGAATTTATGATATCTACATGTGTGTTTAGTCCCTCTTTGTCACCTCTTCTTTCTTACCTGATTTTGAATACTTGGCTTGGATGGTCAGTAATAGATTATCCTATTTGTGGTTCATCTTTCAGCAGTCTTAAAATGCTTTAGGTCAGTAGCTCTTTCCTTGTCCACTCATGTAGTAACTCCATCATAGAAGGCTCTTAGGTTGGTGAGGCTGGACTTGCACTCCGTGAAGCCATGCTGGTTGCCTCAAATCACCCCACTGTCCTCTATATGCCTAGCATAGCTCCTAGGAGAATCTTTTCCACGATCTTCCCAGGCACAGAGATAAGGCTGGCAGGTCAGTAGTTCAAGGGTCCTCCCTTCTACTCTTTTTAAAAATGGGTGCCACGTTTGCCTTTTTCCAGACACCAGGGACTCACCCGACTGCCATGACTTTTCAGAGTCGGGACAGTAGAACAGTTTTGGTGCAAACCATGTATACCTTCTTTATTCCAGCGCTGCTGCCCAGAACCTAGTAAGAGGATTCCCTCCTGGAGTGGCCGTCCCATCTGGATGGAAAAGATGGTGCTTTGCAGAGTGAAGGTCCCGCATACCTTTGCTGTTCACTCTTACACTCGTCCAACCATATGCCAGTATTGCAAACGGCTGCTCAAAGGCCTTTTCCGCCAAGGAATGCAGTGTAAAGGTAAACCTGATTTTCTGCTGCAGCAGCAAATTTCAGTAAAGGTGTTTGTATTTAAAATTGATTTGAACTTCTGTTTTGATTGCCAGAAGGATGTGTACTGTGAAATGGGGCAGTATAATTTCTGGAACCTATGTGTATTTTTGAGAGGATGACAGCAGCCCTCATTTCAGGAGCCTGTGCCTTGTACGTTTTTCTGAAAAATAAGATATAGAATCATAGAATGGTTTGGGTTGGATAGGACCTTAAGATCATCTAGTTCCAACCCCCTGCCATGGGCAGGGGCATCTCACGCTAGACCATGTCACCCAAGGCTCTGTCCAACCTGGCCTTGAACACTGCCCTGTATTTAATCTCATGTAGATTTGGGAATACCTTAATTCTAAAAGGATAATTCTGAATTAATAAAATGGGAAGTGCCTCCATTTGTTCAATATCTCCTAGACTCATCACTAAAGACTTGTGAGTATTTATTATGTTGTTCTTGTACAGAATACTGATTATTATCTTCTGGGAAAATTTTTTACATGTAGGTGCTTTTCCTGAGCTAGCTTAGGCTTCATCAGCTGCATGGGTTTTCTTTAGCATATGCTAAGATGCATGACTTCAGTTCTCAGACTTCCATGCAGTTCCCAGGGCATAAGTATGACATTGTGACATTCTTCTGGCTCTTTATCACAGGGCAGTGCAAATCTTTCAGCTTTGTTTCAGGAAAGAAAACTGTAGTGATGAATCATAAACAGTATGGAAAGGACTTTCCATTTCTCTCATGTGAGTTAGTCAAATGTGAGTACCAAAAGTCAACATTTTAAAAGAGGTCACTGAATACATTTTCAGTTTCCTTCAGTAGAGGAGAGCAAAAATTGTAAGCTTATGGCTGTGTTAATTTTCTTTTTACTACAAATACTGCTGTCTCAAGGAAGTAGTTTTATCTTTCATTTTTATTTTTGTTAGTTTGCAGTCTTTGTAGTCTGTTCAAAGTCTGCATCCTGAATGGTTTGATTTTTTTTTTCTTCCCCCCCCAGTCGCTGTGTCTCTTGGATACGTGCAATCCATAAATAATGAAGCCTGAAAAAGATGTTTTGCAATTTTAGAAGTAGTTAACACATAGATGCTACTGACCATATGCAGTTGTTGTGACTGTATATCCAGCCAAACAAATGGGGCTGCCACATCAGTTTCAGAGAAGTGAATGACACTGGGTGAAAATAGCATTCATGTATGGAAAACAAGCAGAGAGAAATGTTATATATACACACATATAAATAAGTTTATTAATAGGCCTTGGTCTGTGCAGTATGATCCTATATGTGTTTTTAATATATCAGGGGTAGCTATCCAACAATCAAAATATTTTCATAGTGCTTTCTCCTACAGATTCTTAAGATTTCTGGCTGACTTCGTTGTGCACATTCACTAAGCTGCAGCATCATGGGTCTTTCTTAAGTCCCGTGTTCCTGAGTACCAGTAAGAGCCCTGGATTTCTTGAATTCATCCAGGCTTCCACTTGGACACTTTGTGATGCTAAGGCTATATTTGTGGTAATAAATTCAATGGGCCCAGGAACATTCCTGGACCTGGACACTGAGGTCACCTGTGACAAAATGACCTATGCTCACGAACAAGTTTTCTTAGTATCCCAGCCTGAGTGGTTGTATGCAGACTGCCTGTTGGGAACAATTTCATGGGATGCTCTGATTTATGAACTAGACATGGGAACTGTTTGGGATTGTGCTAATGCTGTGGACCAAAAGCATGCTAGGGAATGTTTCTAACTGTTCACTAGACTACTTGCAATACCCAAGAATGTTTCTAGATGTGATTTAATTTATTAGGATTGACTTGCTCTTAGTCTGGGGAGATAATGATTTTTCTCTTGTCTGGGCAGAAAAGGAAAGCATGATGAGCTTTCTTTGGATAGCAGAAAGGGGCTAAACTATCAGATTGAAAACAGTTGTGGGGACCGTAGGGAGTTTTGAGATTCATGATGTTGGTACTGATTTGAAAATTACAGTGATGCTGCTAATAAAGGAAATTCCTGTTAATACCACTAATGTAAGCTGGATTTTGTTCAGTAGGCTGCATCTGATGCTTTGGATGCAGAAATGGCACACATCTGGGTTAAATTCCATCTTCACATCAGGCCATATCTGGACACAACATTATTCTGTCTACTTTGTGTCAGCAGTCAGAAATGAGGCTTCAGTGTTCAGCCTGTCTGAATGATAGCGGAACTGGACTTTGGGATTTACTGCACAGCATATTTGCGCTGTGATATTGCTCTGTGATCCTAGAGGCTCTGATAGCTGCAAGTCTTAGTGGCAGGTGGGGAAACATGGTAGAGATGAGACATGTAAATCATAGCAATGGAAAAAAGGATGTGGAACAAATGAGAGGTTGGAAAAAATTACATCATAATGGAAAAAATAGCTACAGAGAAAGCTAGAAAAGTAGAAAACTTGTGTACTGGAAGGGGAAGTGCTGACACAATGAATAGTGGTGGGGCAAATCAACATATGACATCAGGACAAGAATGTTAATTTCCTTCTGGAGGTGACCTCATTGGTGCTGTCTTCAGTTACATGCAAATGTATAAAACTGAGCTGAAGTTTGTGCTGGAAGTAGTGAATGATAGAATGTTAGTGTGTGAGTAGGAGTAAGATTCTGGTGTCATGATCTTATTTATCTTCTATTTTAGATTGCAGATTCAACTGTCACAAACGCTGTGCATCTAAAGTGCCTAAAGACTGTCTTGGAGAGGTGATTTTTAATGGAGGTAAGATGAGAAATGTGCTTTCAAATACCAACGGATCTTTGGACGTATAACAAGATGCACTAGCTTTTGGCTCCCTCATCTTTGAATATTTTACAGCTTTTTGTTTTATCTTCCCAGTTTCTTCACTTGAGATTGCTGATAGTTAAAAAGATTCATTGTAAAACTTACACTCTGGTGACTTCAATTTTACTTCATCATTCTTGGCAAGTGCAGTGTGCTTTGCCTGAGATTGCTCAAGGGAAATAAGAAAATCAAGCAGCTTTCTCAGTGCTGAAAAAATAATCATCTGTTGTGATCAGTCTGCTCATTGTTCACCATGAAATGTATTTTAAAATGTTTATATCTGAAGACTAGTACCATTTTTTGATGACTTTCCCATACCCATGATCTTAAGTGGCCAGAGTTAGCCCAGCAGATTGAAATAGGAGAAAGGAAAAAACCAGTCTGTTGCCATTGCACAGTGTATTCCATCCATTTTTGCCTCTCTTGTCCAGCTCCAAGGCTCTTGCCTGGGCCAGCATGATTGGTGGCCAGCATGTTTTTGCTGCAGCCTGCTTTCAGGACCCTTGTGGTGGTGCACATAGTTTGGGAACTGTGATTTCATGTAATTCTTCTGTGGACATAAGGACATTTTTTGACTCTCTCCAGGCCAAAAATTAAAAAAAACCCCAACCCTGAAACAAAAATTAAACAGCTAAAAAAGGCTATAGATGAAGGTATTTTTTAATTCTTAATGGTATGTCTTAATCCTTAATTTTCCACAATGCAAGTGGTACAGCTTTTGGAAACATTAAACTTCTGCCAGCAGAGAATCAGATGTGAGTAAGATCTGTTCTGCTTTTCTCTTTTTCTGCAATACCACAGTCCCTCTTTTCTCTCTTACTTTTGCTATTATGGGTCACAGAAGCAAGAACAGAGTTGGGTTTCTGTTGATGGAGAATTTCATTCTCACAGGAATAATTCTCTGGGCCATCTCTAGCCATTGAAAGGTTGCTTTGTATTGGTTACTTGTGGAACAGGATTACTTAATAAGATGCAGGTTTACACCTTAAGATTTTCACTCTGTTTCTTTCAATATGTTTCTTGTTTTAGTTGAGTCTCTCTTGCCTTGGCATTTAGCAAAACCAAATCGATAATGTTCATAAGCCTACTTTGCACTTCCCATCATTTAGTAAAACCTTGAGGACTTTGTATGTTCTGATTTTTACTTTTATGTTTGCTTGCATAAATGCGACCTGAAGAAACCGAAGAAGAAATTTTGGGGGGCTGTTTGGGTGTGGTGGTTTTGTTGTGGTTTTTTTCTTTTAAACTCTGTACTTGGAAGAATATCTGAATTCTGTGTTGTTTCCAGAACCTGCTAGTGCAGGGCAGGACTTGGACATGCCAATGGAAGTTGATAGCAGTGAATTGAATAGTGATGGTAGTCGAAGTCTGGATGATGCTGAAGAGCCCTCTCCTCCAGAGGACAAGATCTTCTTTATGGATCCGTCTGACCTTGATGCAGACAAAGATGAAGAAGCTGTCAAAACCATCAGGTAAGTCAGAAGGTGGATTTCTTTCCTCTGGATGTACTTTCCTCAGTATTGTGCGTAAAACATTTTTGATTAGCCAAGTTTTACTGCTTAAAGTGTTGGTTTCTCTTCTTCTTCTTGTTTTTTTTTTTTTTTAAATACTTGAAAATGTTTCATAAAGTTATCCTTCCTCAAGAAAATTGAAACATAAAAATGAACATAATATTAATCTCTTTTGATTGAAAAAGGTGCTGTGATACAGCTGTTACCAAAGAAGTAAAATAATGTTATCAAAACATGGTAAAATTTACGGCTTGACATGGCTAAGATCTTTGTGACTTCAGCCTAATTTAGTTACTGTTATACATCTGCTGATTTAAAAGGAATTAATTGAGTTACTTTGATATTCACATCATAATTTGTATTAATTTAGGCGGAAGTTTGCTTTTGTCTTGAATGTGTTTTTTCTGAAGTCTTCTATCTGAAGATGTTGCATAGTTTCTTTAATTACTGTTACACAGTTCCTTTAATCAAGTTAGGTCTTTTTACTTTCTGTATTCTGAGTAGTGTCATCCTGATTTTCTTATGTCATTCTTAACATAAGAATAGTTGTATTAGGTCAAACTGAAGGTCATATTAGCTCAGGACTTAACAGCAAATATGTGAGGAAGAGCATGTAGTGATACCTTTCCAATTTTGAAAGATTTATAGGTCAAGGGCTTCCTGAGTTGGAAGTAGCATCTTTTTTGTGTTCCACCTCTAGGTAGGATTTTTCCATTTATTTCTAATCGGATTTGAAGCAATTAAAGTTTTTGGCAAGTACAGCATCCTGTGGCAGCTAATTCTTCAGTGTAACTATATGCTGTGTTAAAGCATCCTTACATTTTTTGTTTTGAATCTACTTTGAGATTTCTTTTAACAAACGTTTCTGTTAGTGCCACATGTAGGAGCTCTGGTGTTAAGCAGGCAACTTAGTGGTTGACTCCATCTTCAGTGCTGTTTAAACCTTTATGTTTAAGTAATGACTCTGTCAGAATATTGGAGATTGTCAAATCTTTGTCTGCAGGACAGTTAACATCCCTGAGCATTGGTGAAATTTTCTAGTGCAACTGTGATTTGAATTAACACACCCCTGTTTGTATTTTCATAAATAGAATGTATGCTTAGAAAGGAACATTCATTAGTGCAATAAAAATATTAAGAAGCATAGTCAACTTAAGAGAAAATAATAGTGATGCTGATGTTTATTATATTTTTATGCTGGATTAGACTGGCAGTCTCAGCTAATTGTTTTGAGAGAGGACGGTTTCCGTAGGTGTCTTCATTCCAGTGTGTTTCTTCCTGTGTTCTGTAGATTAATTTAAGTACTGCAACACTTGCACTGGGAGAGGTAGTGGGAGCTCAGATACCTTACCAATTTCAGCTATCAATGAAATTTGTATGGGAAGAAAAGGTGCCTGTTCCTGAAAATTATGGTCTAAATGTGTAGTAACAGTATAATTTCAGTACTGTTGTATTTTAATTTGTTAAATATTAACTGTTCTATATTTTATTTAGTCCTTCAACAAGCAATAATATTCCACTCATGAGAGTTGTACAATCGATCAAGCACACAAAGAGGAAGAGCAGTACAATGGTGAAGGAAGGATGGATGGTCCACTACACTAGTAGAGACAATCTGGTCAGTGGCTTTAGTTTCTTTCTAGATTAAGTTAAATTATTTCTCTAAACCAGTGTATTTTATTTATCTTAATTAGACGTTCTGATTCACAGTATCATTTGAAAGAACATAGCCATTGATGTTCATTATAAAAAAATCTGGTGTGAAGGAGAAACTAGTTTATTCAAAATTCTTTATGTGGTGATTCAGCAGTACTTTTCCTTCTTCCTTTTAAGCAGAAGCATCTTTATATTGTCTCAAATGAATTGCATATTTAACATTCCAGCTTTCCTGAGATGGTAATTTGGAATAATTTGCTCATGTCTTCTTTCTGTTTAGCAGTTGAACTGAATATTTGTATTGGTGTTTTTATTCCACTATGTGAAAGGTGGAAATCATTATAAAATGATGAGTGCTGAAATGGTTGACACTATTATTCTAATGATCTAGGTGTTCGTAAATATTTATGTGTAGATAAGTGAGCCTTTCATTCCTCTAGCAATTTGCTGTATCTAAAAGTATGCATTATTGTACACACCCCACTGTCCCCAAACTCACTATTCCTCTTGATGTCAGTGGGATGAAGAATTGTGGCATGACTCTGTCCTTGGGTATGCAAGCATCTTCCAAAAAGACTATGTTTGTTTCCAGTGCTACCAATAATCATCTCTTAATTGAACATTCTTAGGCAAGCTCCTTGGGTTTGTGTATTGGGGAGGAAAATAAGGAAGAATAAGTGGGTTCCTCAGAATTGACTGGTGAGAGGGAATTGATCTTCTTGTCTTTTGGTAGATGAATGAAAAGGATGAAGTCAAGATGTTTCCAGATCTCATGAAGCACAGTGTGTCATATTGAGACTTTATGGAAGACAGCATAAATACTTTTGCATTCTTTGTCTCTACAAAGGAGTCTGATTGAAAGGAACTGCAGGCAGTTAGAGAAGCAAAGTTAATTTAAGTTCAGCTGAAATCAAGCTGAGGGGTGACACTAGTCTGCTCAGGTTACTGTAGTGTTTTTACTTTTTGTGATTGTCAACTAAACAGACCACTGTGGTCTGTCAGAAACTGCCTTACAGAACATCTTTAAAGTACAGTTTTCCAATACCTAGATGTATTTATCAGAAAAAGAATAAGTAGCATATTTCAGATGACATTCCAGCCAAGGCTACCTAACAGACACAATTATCAGCTGGCTATGAAAAGCTAAGGCCAGGTAGCAAACGAAGACAAATAGTTCTGAACTGTTCATCATAGGCGTGGTATTCAGCTCTGATTTAATCTTTCAGTACATCCAGTACATTTTTCCATGGACATTTTTGAACTCCTCATAGAACAGTGGTTAGATTGTACACCTTAGCATAGTTTGTTTTTCTTGTGCTGTCAGCCTGGCTGCTACCTAGATGACATCTACTGAAAAGGCCATGCAAATAAAGTGGAGTATTCTGCCCCAAAGCAAAATACCGTGAGCCAAGCAAGAGCTCATAGAGCTTCCTAATGGGAGGAGACTTCCGTATTAGGCATTACAACATCAGCTATTTCCCTTGACCCCTCTGTTCTCAGCAATGTCAGACTATTTCCTATTCCTGAACAAGTTGGGCTTTCTGTCAGTTCCAGAGAGGTTCATTTTAGCAGCAGTATCTGTATTCTTTGTGCTCATCCTGCATAACAAGAATTTCACCCTTCATAATGAGAAGTTGCTGTATCATCGTCTATATTGTTTTCCTCACCCTGAGCCCATCCTTTCTCAGAATAGAGTATGGGCAGATTTTGGATCACCGAATTACCACCTGTTCCTTAATTTCCCCTCCTCTGAAGTCTTCCCTGATTCATGATTTAATAAAGAGCATACATGTCCAAGAGACAGGTTCGCCCTTATGCCTTACCCATCTTCCATTCAGTGCGGGCTGGAAATTCCATTTAGTTAAATCCATTCATGGCCTAGCTTTCTTTGCCTAACTCCTACAGGTCGACCTAGCTTTCCCGTGATTGAAGGCATTTAAGCTCTGCTGTATTATGTTTTAAACTCTTGCATCCTAAGCCAGAATGAGGGTCTTGGATTTTTGTCACGGAAACATGAAAATGGGTTTCATATGTGAGCATGGTGCAAGCAAAGTAAGTTAGACTCATACAGCCATACATATTAGCTTTCTAAAAGCTTCTTTGTTTCTTCTGCTTAAAATTACAAGACAGTTATGTGCAATTCATATTTCTTTTTGGTGGAGAAGATATTTCTTATTGGAGGAGACTTCCAGAAAATGGCTATTCAGTCTGTCTTGATTTTTATTTATATTTTATTTCCCCCAAGATCCTGTGTCCGCTTGAATCTCATGATAATCTGTCTTGACTGTGTGCTCTTGACATTCTTGAGCTCAGTGTTGACAAAAGAATTAAGGACTTGTTAGGCTTGTTTGGTCCTTGAACCCTTGTGATGTTGGTGTAAGGGCACAGAGGGAGGAAGCATGACTCCCACAATTGTTACTAAATTAGAATACTGCAGGTTCAGTGAGCATGTTACCTGGAGTGAAACCTGTGTAGGTGTTTTTCGTGTATGAGATAACTGCTGTTGTCACTGCTATTACTGTTAAGTAAGGTACGCTTTCTTCTGGTTTATGGAAATAACTTCTGAGCTTCTTTTTCATGTATCTAGTCATGTAGATTTATGTTAATTGATGATGTTAGTAATTTTAAGCATTTCCCATTTAAATAATTGGGTAACAAAAGCCACACCAATTTATTTCTTACGTTACTGTACTGTGTGTTTTGTAGAGAAAAAGACATTACTGGAGACTGGACAGCAAATGCCTCACACTGTTTCAAAATGAATCGGGAACAAAATATTACAAGGTAATGAACGATGATTAATAATTATGTTGCACTTGATTTACTCAGTGCTTTATTGATCTAAAATCTGCTTGTGAGCAGTATAAGTATTTTCTCAATTTACTAATCTTTTTTAATCAAAACTGACCACGTTAATTGTTGGCCAAAGCTTGTAAGTGAGAAGGGCCAAGACCAATTCTGGAAAGTTGCTTGCAGCTCTTATTCTAATCCCCTTGGGTATGTCTCTCCTTACCTTTTACTTGTACTGTTCTCCTGAATTCCCTAACAAATTAAACCTTCTTTACAATTACCAGAGGATCTGTTTGTCTGCCAGTCTAATGAAGGCTAGGATTTTTGCATTCTATATATAAGTAGTGACTGAAAGTTTGCATGCTTATGTATTTTATTTTGAGTTTCCCAAAATTAAATAATTCCAACTCTACAACTGAAAGTTGCAAGCAAGATTTAGAGGAAAATTTACTGTGCAGCCTGGCATTATGTAAATGAAGCTTAGGAATTATTTTAGTATATTGTTAATAGAACAGTTTGTTCAATGGTGAAATAATTAGAAAATGTGTTTGAATGTATAAACAGGATTTTTCCCTTTCTTGTCTTACACCTTTAGGTGGGGGTCCAAATCTTGCAGCTTCTTCCTTTATAAGACCAAGCCTTTTCTCTGTACACCCAGCTAAACTTGCCCAGATCCTTTTCATCCCTATCTTGACCAATGCAGTCTCTTCTCAGACCTCTCTGATACTTGTATTGCCCTGTGCATTCAAAACACAGCTGGTAATATATGTTCCTTGCTTGTTGTTCCGTTATGTCACTGCTTCTAGTCCTTTGACTTGCCCCTTTGCACCCCTCTTTTTAACTGCTTATATCTCAGGTTATTTGTCTTTACTGTTAGAATCATTCACAGTTTTTGCCCTTACATTTATTTGTTCTTCATCTTAATCACCTATTGTCTCTTACTGCCCTAATGCCAGCCCCTTGTTCACCTACTTGTTCACTACTCTTGCAAGTGAAATGCACCTGTATACCTTCCTATGTATGTGGAATGTCCTCCTCCAGCTAGTGTGAACTTGCAACCATTTCTTTCTTCAGATCTGTTCTCTAATACTGCATATACCATGATCTTAAACTGATAAGGCCAAGGAGTCAGAAATTGTTAATATCTGTATGAAAGAGAGTATTTACCCAAAACGATTCAGATACGTGAAGCAGTGCTTATTGACTAGCTTATATAACTGCATCATCTTCTTAATATTGTCTTGTTTCACTTTTCCCCTGTCATCGCCTTCTCTAGCTAAGCTATATAAACTACAAGGGGAAAATGGTCATTCTATACTTGTGCCTCATTTGTGTGTGGTGGTGGGGTGTCTCATGCGTGTATCGAGAGAACTGTGGTGGGGCTGGAACTCTCTCTAGGCTTGTAGAGAGGAATTCAGAAAGCTGTGGGTGGGCAATGGTCATGCACAGTTTGTGACATTAGTTATGAGGCTTGGTGTTTTGGTATTTTGGTATGTTTTATTTCTTTGCAAGCATTTTAAGTTTGAATACCAGTATATTGAAATAGTATGTACGTTTTCATTTTTTAACCTTTAATATTTTTCTTCAGGAGATTCCACTTTCAGAAATTCTCCAGGTGACTCAGCCTCGAGATTTTTCAAACGTGGTGCAGGGCAGCAACCCGTACTGTTTTGAGATCATCACTGACACCATGGTGTACTTTGTTGGCGAAAACAATGGCAGCAGTCATCACAGTCCTGTTCTTGCTGCCACCGGAGTTGGACTTGACGTAGCTCAGGGCTGGGAGAAAGCCATTCGTCAGGCTTTGATGCCAGTCACTCCTCAAGCTAGCGTTTGCACTGCTGCAGGACAAGGAAAAGATCACAGTAAGCAGGCAGACAAGGCCCTATCATTCATATTCTGAAGCTGTTAATAGTAGAGATTCCTTTCAGAAAAACTCTTACTTAGAGTGAAGTGTTTCTGTCTATTCTCTGCTGAATTGGGTCCGTAATTTCCCACAAGTCTCTAAAAAGTGGCACTCAGGTTTGTGGAGGGTGGGCAAATCCTTCAATCTGTTGTAGCAGGTAGTAGTAGCTAGGAATCAGATTTACAATATGAATGCATATTTCAGAGCTTTATTGTAAGAGCAGTAAGAACTCGCATGTAGTTGCTGGACATAAAAAGGGACCTTAGTTTAGATATTTCTAATATACATTAATAAATCAATATATTCAGATCATATACTCTAAAAACTATATTGGGATGGTTTTTGATGTTATGTCCTATATATATTACAGCTAGGAGATGTTGGTAGCTGAGAAGAAAAGGAGTTAGTGATAAAATGTAAATACTGCCAATGCTGGAAAGGACTTTTGCTGAGCTGTGGGTAGTGATAAAAAGTACCCTCTTCTTTCTATGTACCTGCCCTCCCTTTCTTTCTCTGGCATAGGATCAGATTCATTATCAAGGCTCCACTAAACTGTATCTTGTGTTCTTTCTCTTCAGACATCTTGTTCCTTGTGATGACGTTAATTCACATTCTATACTGAGACTTATGTTTTCATTCTTTAGTTTCCTTTTATCTTCCAGCTACTCCTTAATCTTCTTTTAGTGAAATTCTTTTTTGCAGGAGTTTGTGAGGTTAGTTTCTCTGTCTCTGGTGTCTGGCTACTCTGCACCAGCAACAGTTAAGAACATGTAACCACTAGTGTTAGGTAAAGGCACTTTCTCAAAAGGGTGCAACCATGGTCTGAAATGGTAAACTATGAAATGCCAGTACTGGTATCTGTATTTAATTACAGTGAAGAAACATACTGGTAAGATGGTACCTCACAACTGGCCTAGTTCCAAATATATATACGTCAAAGTTCACTTTGTTTTCTAGAACCTAAGGCTTGCTGTTGCTGAGACTTGCAGAGTTGCTTTTTCTAAAATCAGTATTTTTTCAGATGTAAACAATAACATTTTTATATTAAAACTTGACAGTGGTAGGAAATGGAGCTGCAAGGGTAGGTACAGTGAGGCAGTATTTTGAAGTATTTAGAAGTGTTTAGGATTGTAGGAGTAGAAGGAACTATCATGAGTTGCGGAGTGGCATTCGCATATCCTTATGCAACTCAGGTTGGTTTTTAAACTCTAAAAGCCCACAAAATGTCCATTCATCCCTCTTCTTCCTACACGTTACATGAAACGTATCCCAAGAGTCTTTAAGAAAACTAAACTTTCAGTTAAAGAAAGTCCAGAAGCCTGAAGTATGTTATTTTAAATGACAAGACCAAAAGGGGAGACACTGCTACTGCTTGAAATACTTGCAGCAGCAGGGAATTTGTGGTGTTAAAATGTCCACAAGACATTAGCTAATCACTTTGTATCACATTCTGTCCAGAAAGTGGCTAGAAAGGAGGATGCTCTTCCAGTCTGACCCAAGGAAAGGAGTCCTTTCTGACCTTGTGCCTGGTGCCTGGGGTGGGATGTTTCTGAGCTGAAATGAGAAAGAGGAGTAAGCTGTTACTTGGCATAGATTACATATGGAATCTGGCATTACTGATTTCTTCAGGAGTGACTGTTTTTCAGCCATTAATCTTATGCCTTGCAGACATTAGGAAACTTTATTTGAACTCAGTAACTCAGCCTCTACCTACCAGATGTTACGTATTCTGTAGCCATCCGTGAAAAAGGGTTCAGTGTGTTCTCTTTAAACAGGTTCAAAAACTCTTTCTTGTTTAAGCCTTGCTGCAGTTTGTGTTGACCTTAGTAACTTCTTTGTCTGCCACCTTTCTTCGTTTTGCTGGTGTTCTGTACTGTCATTCCAATACAGACTTGGCTATAGTCAGTAATCAATAGACATATGCAAGGCTGTAATTCCAGTTCAGATTTCAGATATGAGAGGTGTCTTTGAGAACTAGTATTTACTCCTGTCTTAAGGCTCTAAATTCCTTCTTTGACATAAAGCACAGGTGGAAAAAATCAGATACAGACATTTTCTTTGTTCTCTGAAATTGTGTTTTTTAAATCTCAAGGCTCTTCATAAGGGTGATAAAGACTTTTCAAAGGGCTAGTAAATCTGTAGTATATCTTCTTTCCATCTTGCAGGTGTATTTGGACGTCAGAGGAAAGGGGTGTATTCTGCCTGCCTTGACATCTTGACATCTCTCTTGTCTGTGCATGTTAGTGTTGTTCCTGTAATGAAAACTTCGTGTCAAACTTTGCTGCAGGCTGAAAAATTCTGGATCTTGTGCTTTTACTTGCAAATTACACTTCAGAGATGTGCTCTTATATTCCAAAGACTCATACGCTTCTGTAGTTTATCCATAAAACAAAGATTGTTTATATTACGGGGTTTATTGCTTTTTTAATTATCAGGCCCTCTTTTTACTTCTGTTGCTTGATTTGTTTCCTTTTCTCATGCATTGATTCTGCATCTTATGAAATTTGACTGTAAGGTATCTACCTGGTCTGCTTCCCTGTGTGTTTCTATATTACTATTGGAAAATCTTGGTAGTTTAATGAACTCTGATACAATTGCCACATTACTATTGCTTTTGGATCATCAGCTCTCTGTTGTGTACACACTCATTCTACTATTTCTGTTGTCAGAATATAGACAAATAGTTCCAGCAAAATTCCTGAGGCCGTTTATCTAATCATTCCATGAAATCTGTGTTCCAGGATATGATGTTTCTGCAGAACATCAATAAAAATTGTTTCACCATGACTGGGTTATAAGCCAGTAAAGAGTTGGGGATTTTTGGTTTGGATTTGATTTGGGTTTTTTCCCTGCTTTTTACTAAAAAAAGCCCCTGCCCTTCCTACTTACTCAGATATGTCTTCTTTATTGCAGAAGAGTTATCTTTAAGCATCTCTGTTTCAAATTGCCAGGTCCAAGAGAATGTGGTGAGTATGTGCATTGTGTAACAATGGTGTTTATTTCACAGAATGGTTTGGGTTGGAAGGGACTTTAAAGATCACCTCGTTCCACCCGCCCTGCCATGGGCAGGGACACCTTCCATTAGACCAGGTTGCTCAAAGCCCCGTCCAACCTGGCCTTGAACACTGCCAGGGATGGGGCAGCCACACATTCTCTGGGCAACCTGTGCCAGTGCCTCAGCACTCTCATAGTGAAGAATTTTCTTGTAATACTTAATCTGAATCTACCCTCTTTCAGCTTAAAGCCATTACCTCTTGTCCTGTCACTACATGGTGCAGAAGGTACAGAAGGCTGCTGTAAGGTCTCCCCTCAGCCTTCTCTTCTCCAGGCTGAACAACCCCAGCTCTCAGCCTGTCTTCATAGGAGAGGTGCTCTAGCCTGGGAGCACCTTTGTACTGTATGGGTATTACAAAGTATTTGGTAGTAACAGTGTCCAGATGAGAAAACACCACCAGGGTATTGTAGCTAAAGAAGTCTGTGTTAAATACAGGAAGTAATCTACTTACTTGGCACAACTGATAGTTGACTGTCCCTGCTTACAATGCAGCTAAGTGGATCCTCTTCAGGAGAAGTTTGTTGTGTTTTTCCACTCCGCTAAGGGTAACGGTGGCACCCTTTACAGGGTTTGGTTAATGTCAAATGTAAATACAGCTTAGCCAGTACTTACATGCTATATGCTAATATTCTTGTGAACATTTTGATTACTCCTGATATTTGTGATTTCTTTTTTTCATGCGTTAGGATATCAGCTCTGTGTACCAAATATTTGCTGATGAAGTGCTGGGATCTGGTCAGTTTGGTATTGTATATGGAGGTAAATTACATTTGATTCCATTATGCATTTACTGAGCTAGAATGTCTGTCTGTTACAATGATTCTTTTCATATTTACTTAGCTGTATCTAGATTGTCTAGGTGAAGTTCATCTTGTTTGAAGTTTTGTTTGAATCACATTATATTGTGTCTCTGTGCAGATTTTATGTACAGTATTTCTTACAATCCATTTTTTTTGCATTTAGAGTTTTGCATTGGCATAAAAATCTGTTTAGAATATACATTGCATTTTGACCACAGTTAAATACAAAGCAGTCTCTAATCTGAATTTGGCCTTTATTTTTGTTTTAATTGCAAATTCTAACTGTTGTCTGTATTACACAGTATTAGAAATCACCTTTTTAAGGAGGCTGTCAGTTATACGTGTTTTTTAATGACATCTGAGAAATGTGGCCAAAAGCAATTAGAAAAATACGTATTTTAATTTGTGGTTTGACTACTTATGCAGACATTATTGATAAATTTTATGCAAACAGTTCAGCTTCAAATTTCTGTCAGCAGGGTAAAGTAGAGGGAGGAATTCTTTACCCTGGATTTGGGTTTCAAATGTAGTTTTGCCACTTTCAGTTCTTAAAAAATTCTGTTGCAACATATAGCTTGCTTAGAGTAATCACAAAAAGAATACATACCAGACACGAATCGGCACATTCACAGACCATAAATCTGGAAAGAAAGAAAACAACTGCTAACTCATGATTTAAAAGTGGTAACCTCTTGATGACTGACATTGATCTTCTGTTTAGGAAAACATAGGAAGACTGGAAGAGATGTGGCTATCAAAGTCATCGACAAGATGAGGTTTCCAACTAAACAGGAAAGTCAGCTTCGTAATGAAGTAGCCATTCTCCAGGTACGAAAGTATTTTTGAATCGCGCTGGAGTTCTGTCTCAGATACGCCATTAGTGAGCTTTTGTAATGTGTGTACGTGCTCTGAATTGATTTTTAAAGCTGCATATGTGATTTCTGAGACTTTTTATAAAAGGGAACCTTAGAAGAGCGGGAATTCCTGAGTATTTGGTACAGTTGATAACTTGGGGGTGGTATCTGCCCCCTGTAGGGGATCCACTGAAAGTGTGTACTCTGCAGGAAATTCTTTAGTATTTTTTGCTGTCTTCCACTTCTGGCTCCTCAATCTGACTGTTATTCTTGTATGTTCTGTACTCAAGCTAGCGAGTAGATCAACTGTAAAATTAATCATTTTGGACAATCCGTGTTAAACCAGATTAATCTTAGTGATAATTGGCATGCTTCAAGGGCTGATGTTTGTTTCAAGCTAGTTTCTTGCCTCAGATGTTTTGTTGGTTTGGAGGATTTTTTGTCTCTAACTCTCCACTTAGCTGCTTTTTGATTTGTGGTACAACATTCCTGTGTAATCCAGCATATTTCATACTGTTTTATTTTAGTGAGGTACCTATGTTTCTTTATTTTAGAATTTGCACCACCCTGGGATTGTGAACCTGGAATGTATGTTTGAAACGCCAGAACGGGTCTTTGTTGTGATGGAAAAGCTGCATGGGGATATGCTAGAGATGATTCTTTCCAGTGAGAAAAGTCGACTTCCAGAGCGAATAACTAAGTTCATGGTGACTCAGGTTGGTATTCAGTCTCTGTACTTCAATAGATGTGTCTTTTCTAATTATGTGAGAATGGAATTTGGAGTAGGAGCTTTCTCTGTTGTTGTTTGAAAGAGCACAGAGAGCTGTGCATCTAATGAAAGTTGAATAAACATGGAAAGAATTTGGCTGTTAAGTATGTTAAGGTTTTGCCGTTCTTTCCCAACACATAACATTATGGACATCCAAAGATGCATGTCGAAACAGTAAGCATTCAGAAAGACAGAGAGGGAGAAGGTGGGATGGGAAAGCAAACCCCATCAAAGTCCTGGTAGGCTTGCACAGTATATATGGGTTAATTCTTGAAGACTATGTTGATAAAAACGACTGTATTTGTTAGTGTGTGTGGCTTTTACACTTGTGATCTGCTTAAATAGTTCTGAAAGTGTTCTTTCTTCTTGCAGATACTTGTTGCTTTGAGGAATTTACACTTCAAGAATATTGTGCACTGTGATTTAAAACCAGAAAATGTACTACTAGCTTCTGCAGAGCCGTTCCCTCAAGTGAGTGAGGATTGAAAAATACTTTTCCTATTTTTTTTTTCTTCTTTTTTCCCTCCCGAAGGAATACAGTCATTGCAGCTTAAAAAGTGACCTCTTGTGGGATTGTTCAACTGACTTAGTCTAGAATTATTTGAGTTACAAGTACTCTAGTTGTCTTTTTTTTCCTTCCGGCTCTTAGCCTAGCTTTATGCTCAGTGGTCTGTTTCAGTTTCTTTCCCCTCAGGCATGGATCATGTCTCCCAACAATACTGTGCACCAGCATACTTTCTTCCAAGGAGCCTGAGAAGTACATTTGCTGTGTCAGCACTTAGCAAAAGGCTGTGTAGTCTCCATCTATTTTTATACTTGTGAAGAGTGCATGGAAACTGGTATCCTGGGTTAGTGAGAATATTCCATTGGAACAGGCACAGGACTAGAAGCTTCAGGACTAGTCCTTGTTTCTGTACCAGTGCTGTTTGACTCTGCCCTATTCTGCATCTCCTTCTCTTCTTCACTCTTTTCTTTGTTGCTTATAAGCTGCTGTGAAAAGGGACTGGCTTGTTTGTCACTGGTCTTTCTGAGGGATCTTCATCAGTATGTGTGATATTGTAATGTAAACTAAATAGCTGATTTCTGTAAGAGTAATATTAGTGTTTAGGTAGCATCAACACTTAATCCAGTAAACTGTTACCTCAGATGCCTTGGGTAGCGTGGATTTTGTGGAGGGTATACAAAAATTAAGATCTGCAAGGCAGCATCAGGGAATTGCTTCCAGACCTGTGACGTAAATGCAAAGTGGAGTGGACTTGTGGAGAGTCATTTATATGCCTTTAGTGCATTGCTCTTTCTTACACCCTGAAGAATAAGTGGAGTTAGTGTTGGACTTGATCTGGATCCTGTTATCTGTAGAAGTGCTTGCTGTGTTCAAGTTAAGGAACCATCCCAGAACCATGAAGATGTAAGCATCGGTGCAGGCACCAGCTGTTGATGCTTTTTACCTGGATGATTATTGGACTCTTCTGTCCAGAGCTGGCTGGGTCTGAGTTCTAGCTAAACCTCACTTTTTGATTTCTGTGTAGTTGAAGCCACCAGCTTCAGGAGTCTGATAAAGATGAATGTGATCTGGCTGGGATTCATGTGCTGCTTAAATTTTGGTTCTGTGCCTTGTGAAGGTGTGGGTTTGCCTCTGAAAATGAGCTGAGTTGGTAATCAAGTATTTTATCCTTATTTGCACACTTGTAGCCATGTAATAGACAGACTTGCCTCAGACCTGAGTCTGTGCAAGGCCAGTTCAGGTCTGCAGTCTGCAAACCCAGCAACCTAAAACCTTAACTGACTGGCTTACATCATGTTTGTCTCTGATTTAGTGCATACCATGTTTAAATGATGATAGAAAGGGTACCTAGTACCACTCTGGTCTTGGGCAGTAGCATGCTTTGGAGATTTCTCAGATAAAATACATCTCTGTTGCAGGTGAAGCTGTGTGATTTTGGCTTTGCACGTATCATTGGTGAAAAATCTTTCAGGCGCTCTGTGGTGGGGACACCTGCTTATCTTGCCCCTGAAGTGCTCAGGAGTAAAGGTTACAACCGCTCTCTAGACATGTGGTCGGTAGGAGTTATTGTCTATGTGAGCCTTAGTGGTACATTCCCATTCAATGAAGATGAGGATATCAATGATCAGATTCAAAATGCAGCATTTATGTACCCACCAAATCCTTGGAAGGAAATTTCTAGTGAAGGTAAGGAAAGTAATTTTCTGTATTAGAATGCATTTATATGTAGGTTAGTGCATCGAAATGCTTAAACTTTGAGGTTAATTCAGATAGGAGTGTGAGAATTATTGACAGCTTGAGTTTAGTAGACTATGCCAAAATGGATAAATACGAGCTGGCATATATTTGTGAAAGCTAAATTGTCAAATACAATGTTTGAGATTATACTCAGGACAGGAGGGGCTAATAGATTTAGCAAGGAAGATTAACTGCATGCGTGAGGAGGGGGTAAATAACCTGAAACTTCCCCCAGTTCCAAGTGAAAAGTTAAATCATGTGTGAGTACTTGCTGAACACTGATCTCAAAACATACTTGATCTAAGCTATAGTTACAGAAACAGTTCAAAGTTGATTGTGGAATTTTAGTTTTGTATGTTAGCAAGGGAGACAAAACCTGGATCTAAACGTCAGGTCTGAACAATCTAGAAGCTTACAGGGTTGGTCTCACATGCTCTCCAGTGCCAGCTGTGTTACCAGTAATGTATATATGATTAACACGTGTGTAGATGTGGAAGGACATATACAGAAGTATACGATAGTGGAAGTAGCTGCATCATTTTGGAATGCAGGGTTATGCTCAGGTTCTTTAGGCCCTTCTGAAAACCACTAAAATCAGTAGAGGAAAAGATTGACAAGTAATATAGTAAAGCTTTTAGTGTTTCAGTAAGAGGTGGAAGAAAGCTTACCCTGTACCTGTTTGGAGCCTCATTTAACTTAAGCAAAGCGAAATATAAAATTCAAGAGCTTGATTAAGTTTAGAAGAAATCAATAGGCTACACACAAACACTCATAAAAAATTAACTTTCACTGCAGCATGTGAATGGTGATAGAGGTGATGAACATTTAAACAATACAATTTTTGTTCTGTTCTTTTATGTCAGCCATTGATCTGATAAACAATTTGCTTCAAGTGAAGATGAGAAAACGTTTCAGTGTTGACAAATCCCTCAGTCATCCGTGGTTACAGGTAAACCCATCTGCCTTTTTCACTGTGTTCATAATGGGTGAATAATGATTTTTTTTTTTTTATTTGGATTAAATCCTTCAGAAGCTTATTAAATCTGCTGGTATCAGTCTGTTGGCAAGCATTCACAGGGGCTTGAGTACTTCTGGTTTTAGCTTTACATTTTATGTGCTCCAGGATTCTGCCCATCTGTTAATGGCTTCTTTCCCCAAGGACAGCTTTGTCTTACTGTCTCTACCCCCCCCTTACTTTTCTGTCTGACACCAACATAGTTTTACTCTTCTGGCACCTCTCGTGAATGCAGGCAGTGATGTGTGCACGGAGCCACGCTGAAATCAGTGTTAGAGACAAGCATTGTTAGTTCAGTGCTGGAAGAGACACACAGGCTGGTGTGTGCCACGAATTTCCCTGCCACTTTGAGGCGGGTTCCTTTGGCAGTGGTTTCACAATACTGTATGCACGTATCCATGCACCCAAATAACTTAAAAGATGTTAAGGGGAAAATTCAATTAATTTTGAGTACAAACAATATTGGAATGAGTATAATTTCTTGTATGGGTATATATACAATTAATTTTATATTAATGCTGACATAGATGTCTGGTTACAGAAAGTTTTCATGATTTTCAGTATTGCAACTTTAGATACCAGGCTACTTAATTTTGAACTATTTTTTGTGGACAGTGTTGGGGTATTTTGGGGAGAAATGTTTGGGGTTTGCTTAACATTATACTAAAAGTAGAGACAAAGTGCAGAATTTTTTTGTGGGAGTGTAGTGCTGCTGTTTCTTAAACTGCTTCCTTAAATCTCATTTACTCCTTAGGATTATCAGACTTGGCTTGACCTCAGAGAATTTGAAACACGCATTGGAGAGCGTTACATCACCCACGAGAGTGATGATGCACGCTGGAAAGAACATGCTTATGAACACAACCTTGAGTACCCCCAGCATTTTATTATGGCTCCCAACCCAGATGATATGGAAGAAGACCCTTGATCTATTCATAATGCTAAATTGCAGCAAGGAAAGATACTCCAGACAGAAACTGAAGATACGATTTGGCACAACTGTTGCTCTTTCTGAATGCTGTACACTGTTTGGTGTGCAAAGCCCTAGTGGATCCTACACTGACTTGGGAATAGACTGTCGTCTGACAAGCTTCTCTCCATCTCTGGCTTAAACTATGAATAGTTTCTGGACAGTGGGATGGATAGGCCCCACTGGGTAGGATTTCACCGAGCTGTGTGGCTACAAAGCCATTCCTGAGGTGTAATGGGCACACGTTGAATGGTTTGTGTGGTGTTCAAGGTTTGGACTGGTTTTGTTTGTTTGGTTTTGTTGTTTGGTTTGGTTTTGGTTTGGTTTTTTTTTTATATCCTACACAATAAGAATTTTGTAATGGTTTTCTAATCCCTATTTACTAGGCCATAGAGGACTGTTTTGTGTTACTTAGATACATCTCCCATTTCCTAAACTGTGCATGGTGAAAAGAGACTGTAAAAAGAAATCAGTGCAGAATACCTTGGCTAATAGCAAAACATGGTGGTTTAGGTTGAATACAGCTTCATAGATGAAGGAATAACTTGCTGCTGGTAAGACAGTTAAATATGTGTGTCTTTGCCGTAACTGAACTTCTTCTAGATATCCCCCAAAAAGAGACCCTCCCCCCAACTTCTCACATTCCTCTTGAAATGCTGGCTGACAATCCAAAGAGATGACAATCAAAGCTGTGCCAGTCCTTCCTGTTGTCTGTTAAAACAGAGCAGTAAGCCACAACACTGTGTTGCTGTGCAAGGCTGGCACGTGTTGATACCCGCCAAAGGCACTACCCAGGTAATGCACAGAGAGCACACAAGACTTGATGTAGCCTGTCCTTTCACTGTGGAAAAACAGCTTCTAGCAAAGGATGTGGAAGAATAGGGAAAAGCACACGCAGCTTTCTTCTGTTGTTTTCAGTAATTAGATTTTTAAAATATTTCTAATATTTTTCTAATATTTCTAAGGTTCCCTGGACTTTCATCAGGAGTAGTTTGTAGCCTGCTAGCTTGTGTCTTAACTCCGCTCAGAACCTGGGAGCAAAGGTGGGCATCACATCACCTGTTGCTTCTGCCAGGGCAGCTGGATTGTAGGAGAAAAGGGCTTTGCCTTCTGACCTTAACCTGCAGCCCCTCCTGTCCTCTTTACTGTGTTGTTTGAGCTGAATGAAGAGTCCCAAACCAACTCCTAACGCAGTTTTCATGTGGATGCCTCAACTGATGGATTTCCAGCCACTTGCTGGACTTGTAGCACAACAGAGAGGAAGCAGCAGTGTTCTTTGGAAATGATTCCCTCGGAGGGCAGCCTAGCAGTTGGAGTTCATGGTATTTCAAAGACATTTGAGGCCATGAATGGCTAATGCAAAGGGAGAAGGTTGTTTGGGGGTTTTTGGGGTTTTTTTTTTTTCTTGGTTTTTTTGTCTAATTTTAGGAAATGGAAAAGGTGAAGTCTTCCTTTCTGTGTGGGATACCAGCACTGTGCTGCTGGAAGGTGCTGAGATGTGCCAAGCTGCTCGACTGCAGCTTGATTTGAAATACTTTTTTAGAGAACTAATACAGGCTTGAACTGCCAGGTCAGCGAGAGGCTTTGGGGTATCTCCTTTCTCTCCTGTAAAGACTTTTTGTATGTGTGTGTGTAGATAAGTGGTTTTTTCCACTGTTGTTATTCAGGTAAGGAAGAAGCAGGTGAGCAGACTTTTTCTGTGTTAGATATACATATAGTTTTGCAAGGTTATTTCAGGGCTGGCAGCTGCTTGCAGTGACAGTGACCTGGTGACAATAACAGCAGCAGGAGTATATAACCACAGGTAGGTTTGGATGTTTAACCTGCCTTTTCTTTTCCTGTTGCCTTTGATCTGGCTGCCACTACATTCTGCAGGTGTCCAGGCTGGCAAGGGCTGCACTCTGGCTTCCCTGTTAGGGCATACCAAACCTTGCACAAGACGCTGACAGCCCTTCCAGCCACCAGAGTCCTCTCCTAGCACGTGTTTCTCTCAGGTTTGTGCAGGGGAGCTGCCTGACGGCTGTCCTGTCGCTGCCGCTCCTGCACCGGGGGCACCCTCCCCGTTCTGTGCTGTCGGGGCAGTGAGAGCAGGGGAGCTCTGAGCAGGACCGTGCCATCCTGTTAAGGCAGGTGTTCAGGACTGATCCTGCAGCAAGGTGCTGTTCTTCATCTGTGGAACCGGAAGAGTCACCCATGAAATCAGCAGTCTGGCGTTTGCCTTGGCTTGGCAAGGGAAGCAGGGCTTTTTCTTCCAACTTTCACTGTGCAAGTGACCAAATTTCAGCGAAACCATTGCTGTTTTCCATCCTAACTATAATAATGTAGCTACAGTCTGGTATAAACTTCAGTTTATACTTGAGCTGTCACTTCAGGTTTTCCTGTGGTTTTAGGTTTGATTTGTTTTGGGTTTTTCTGGTGGTGTTTTAAGGGAGGAAATAAAGCCAGCTCAGTTACTCAAAAAAGCACAACAAGAGTAGAGGAAGGAGGGGACAACAATGAAGTAGAAGGCCTGGCTGATGTCTCTCCCCATGAAGTCTGCTGTGCTCCAGAATATTACATGAGCTATTTATTCTTCAAGTTGTATTAAAATCAGTAATGCTGTTGGCAGGTGGAGGAGATCACCTGACCATGTATGTAGACTTATGGGGCCAGACAATAGAAGCTGCAAGCAGCTAATAGTCGAGGAACCAAAAAAAACCCAGACATACATTAGGAGTGAACTTCCTTCAGAGTAGTAAAAATAGCTGAGGTTTTCTGTTCCCTTTTTTCCTACCTTTACTGCAGACTTTGACAGCAGTAGGTTACAGTGTTTAATATCCCTACCCCTAGGTGAATTAAGTTGCGTTCCTTCAAGAATAGTGCTAAGATGATGCTAGAAAAAAGCTCATGTAAAATTTATAGCCTCAAAAGGACACTGTCAAGTACTTTTATATTTTTATACATCCCATTGTTTGTAAATATCCTCTGATAAGCTTGAAAATAAAATTTATTTCCCTATCAGACTTGTTCTTTTTATTTACATGAATTAACTCTCCTGTCAACTGGGCTTAGAAGTAAATGGTTCTTTATACATCCTTGTTTCTGGGTTTGTCACTAGATATGCCCTGCTGTGGGAGCTGTGTTAGCAGGTGCTTTGAACTAATAACTCTTTTTGCATGGTTCCTGTCACCCTTCTCTTTATTATCTTTAAAACACAAGCACCACCTTTACTCTGAAATAGCACTCCCTACCAAAACAAGGCCCTGAAGCATAGAGGCCTGGAGAAATAATGTGAGGTTTCATATGCTGTCAGCTCAAGGATAAAATACTTGGTTCTTACCTTACTGCACATGTAGTTATATGTCAATTATGTTATTGCAAAACGTTTAGTACATGAAACCACAAAATGCAGGACTCTCTTCCTTTTCCTTTTATTTGTGTCATTTATTTAGTTTCTACTGTAGTAGAAATTACTTCATTAAGAGTTCACTAAATCCAGCCACAGGTGGTAAGGGAGACTTCGTTTCTGGTTTATGTTTCTTGTCAGGATGTACAAGTCTGTGGTGAGGCAGCAGGGCAAAAAAGTTGAAACAGTCCCCCATCTTCTTGGGGTTCATCAACATATCATAGCCATGAAGTAACTGCTGCTGAGTCGCTGTGTCACGTGAATTCTGCAAGAGCACCTAAAAAGTAAAAGGGAAGTAAGTTACAGCCCTTCCTGCTTTCCTGTAAATTCCCTCTTACTTGTAATTCCTCGCTGGATCCCTTTCTCTTACACTAACTTAGCAGTGCTGTTCAGAGGCAGTGGTGAGATCCCTGCTGGAACTCGCACATTGCTGTATGTAGCGAAGTCTTGCATTACATACTCCTAAACACAACACAACCAGTTTACTTTGAGGGAGCCAGAGTAACCTGTGTCTAGGAGAAGCAACCCTCGATCTCACCTGTACATGTTGTCTTGAACAAGTTCCCTTTGAAATCAGGTTTTTATACCAGCTGTCTTGCTAGGTAAGGTTATTGCCTGGGGATTAGGGGAGGTTATGTACCTGTCAACACAATCGTACCTGCAGCCGGACGTCGATGCCCATGTTTTTTAAAAACTCCCGTTGCTTTATGGGGCCCAATGTGGCTGCTCTTCCCTGTGCCATCTTCCGAAGGTAGCTGAAATCAACGTCTGCTGTCAGGTCTGCAGTCCCTGGAGCTGTCAGCACATCGTGAAGTTTGTGATCCCGGAACCCCTGAAGAATGTAAATTGGAAGATCGCACTCAGCCGTAGCCCTTGCTCCCACAGCTGGGCTAGCAAAGGCTACGTTGTGCCTGTGAGGGGTAAGAGAGCAGTTTACACTTTGAAGATCTCAGATAAGTGTAGGAAGGGTTTAGATTATACTTCCCGTCTGACAAACCCTTATGGGTACTGATTAAATAAGAACTCAGTTTTATCATTGCAGCATAAGGCAGTTTTTGCTATTATGTCCACCCAACATGTTTCTCTTACGAGAGCCTAATGCTCCAACTGACAAGCCAAAATACTCCAATCTTTTATTTATTATTTCAGGGTAAATGACTCACCCGGAAAGTGTCAGTTTTGGTTCCATCATGACCATAATCAGCAACCAGTGCAGCCCCACCATCCTCTTCTATCCGAGAGGCAAGCCTCTGAATGATGACACCAGCCTCGGGACACACTTCCACATGATCTCTGGTTTCCTCAGGCTAGTGCAGAGTTCAAAGATCAAAACACCTGTATTAGCAAACAACCACAGGACAAGAGCTCTTCGCACCTGATGGCTTGGGACTGTCAGCACTTCACGGGGGCACAGAGTTGCAGGGCTATATTCTAGGCTACCTAGAGCTTGAGTTTTTGGTAAGTCATTTTCAATTAGTGTTTTCTGAGTGCTGGATTTCAGTCATCTCTTCTATAACCGACAGTTGAGTGAAATACGAATTTTCCTAACAAGTAAGAATACCTGCATCAGGTGAAACTGCAGTTCTGTGGTACTGAAAAGAAGGAAAACAGCTCTTCAGCTGTGCACACCCTGCAAGAAGGCCTTTCTGTGTGACACTTTGCAGTTGGTTTTAGTCTCAGCTACTTCAT